AGGGAAACTGGAGAAAATGAATATGATGAAAGCTGTTATGGGGGAACAAACACGAACAGAATTAGTGGATAAGAAGAAACGAATACTACCAACTCAGTTGGCTGTTCACTAGCGTACCTCTCCTCCGTATTTAATCTTCTATATTGTTTGTTCGCCCCTAGTTTATCTTGAAGCGAATGCATCTTTGTACAACCTGAAAATAATTCATATTTCGTGCCTCTGAACTCAAGCCACGATTTCGGTTTCAATGAGGCTCGTCGTGCAAGTGGGAGGGCAGACTAATACATCAAGCTTTGCTTTTCCTGCAGGTGGACCGATGCGAATATTGCATTGAATTCGAGGTTGGTAGCGCACTCGTTTTAGTTTATTTTCAATGTGAATTAAGCAAAAATCTTTCAGTATGCCAGTGTGCCTAACTGCTGGCCATCTGGCGCGTTCACAGGCAGGTTGCGGTCAGTGGAATGGCCTTCAGATACGGAGGTCAAGTTCGCTCCTTAGAAGAAAGTCACGATGCCTAATGACGGTCACTTGATGAGGCGAAGGTGACTCACCCCTTTGAAGAAAAAAAGCCGCTTTCACGCAATTACACATCGTTTCGTCAAAGACTAGAAGAGACAGCTTCGACAGAAAACCGGACTGAATCGGGTACTCGTTTGGACGAAATTCTGCAGGTCACCGTCAGCGCTACCAGGGATGACGAATAAATGGGCCTCAGTCCTTGTGTGTCGATCCGCTGAAAACTTCTTCCAACGACATCCCATCTGCTTCACAAAGTTGACAAAAACTTTATATGAAAGTCGCAGCATACGATTGCTCCCAATTCATTCTAAAGGATGTTAGATTTTTGGAATTTTTTTGTCGCATACGAATTTAGCCTAGAAATCGAAGATTAGGTCATCTGCCGCTGACCACTGCTCGGTCACCGTTCGTTTTAGGTTCATTTCAGACATTCATGACTACCGTAGCGATCATTGAAGATTCCCCGTGTGCACTTGCCTTTGGCAATTAGTGCCTTGATTTGCAGACCGTCCTTTTTACACAGGTACGTGCAGAGGTTTTCCTCTGATACCGCCAGCATGCACAATAATATAATTTCGAAGATGAGTCACGAGTTGAGTTAGTTTGACCCAGCCAGCGTTTTGTACTTTCTGTTCGTTTCAGACTGACAGATGGAACCCGCTATGGTGCTAATGTTCGCGTTGCTGTTGGTGGCTCGGTCGACCACAGGCCAAGAGCAGAACCTGATCACCGACAAATCGGCCAGCTGCGACGGTGGCTTCGTCTACTTCCGCATTTGGTTCCAAGAACCATTCACCGGCCTCATCTACAGTGACGGGTACTACGGCGTGTCCCGCTGTACCTACGTATCCGGCAACGCCAGCACCTTCTACAACTTCTCGGTGGCGTTGAACGACTGTGGCACCGAGCGGATGCCGAATGGCTCCATGAAGCACGCGTTGGTCGTACAGCGAGACTCGCGTATACTCGGAGGTTACGACAACCTCTTCGTGGTCATTTGTTCGCCGGCAGTGGCGGCGCAATTGGACGTTCAACCGGGTCAGCCGTTCACCATCCGATTCGGAGGGGTTACGGTAGATGGTAAACTGAGGTCCAGCGAGGTGGTCGCAGAGACAGTCGCCAGCGTCGAGTACGCCGCCAGCGTACTTCTCGGCGACGGTCCGAACGGACCACCGGCCAACAGGCCATTGAGCATAGGCGAGCCGATTACATACGTGATCAAAATTCGCAGTTCTCAGTTCCAACACATGCGGGTTGGCAATTGTTGGGCGACGGACGACATAAGTCAGTTGAACCTCAGCGACGAAGGTGGCTGCTCGTTGCGAAAGGGGGAGAACATCTGGAACGAGTTTCGCGTAGCTACCTCACCGACCGACGGTGACACGGTCTTCTATAACTCCATCAAGGCTTGGAGCTTTCCGACCAGCAATCGTGTGAACATATTTTGCAACATGCACTTCTGTCAGAGGTCATGTTTCCCGCCGTCCTGCGACGCAACCGTCGTCGCACGAGACGAGCCCTCGAAACGGGGTCTTAAGAAGAGGAGCGATCGCGTGATCTCCGAACTGAAGGCCACCTACTCGGTGGTTCCTCAACACAACTCTGTGGTCATAACCGGCAACGTAATGGATTCAGACACTACGCAAGTCGGCTTCATCACCGCCGCAGTTCCGCTGACCGCGGACGACGTCTTCGCAAACAAACGACCATTCTGCTTAACGAATTCGAACTTCGTTCTTCTTCTCTCCATAACTTCATCGATCTTGCTAATATGCTGCATTTTCGTCACTTATACGTTGTTCAGATATTGGAGACGGGTTCGGTGGTTCGTGAAATAAAGTCTTTAGATCAGCAGGCAACGACAGTGACCAAAGGACCTAGCTCACCGATTGATTTACCATACGGTAGGTCCACTGATCCGCAGAGTGAACTACTAACAGTATGAGGTGATTATTTCTGACTGTTCCATACAGGGTATCACAGCCATTTGTTCCATCCTATAGAGGAGGTAGCTGAACAGTTTGAGACCGGACAACGATCACACAGTACAAAAATGGAATTACACTTCAACAAATGATAGAGTAGATTGCATACTATGGAATCTATGGAACCTCTCCTGTCTAAATCCTGAATCCGAAGCCTTACTGCTTCTCGCCTCGTATCTTTTCAGACAGGAAATCAGTTGCATTCATATTGAACAAAGGCAATCAGCAACGACAGCGCAACGGATCTAATTCCAACAGATTTGAATCGAAAAGTAACATGCTCGAATTCTGAGAGGTCAAGA